GTCTCACAGGTCCTGGCTCGAGAGGGATGTGCTCTGGGAGGGGACCGTGTGATGCTGATGCCGTCACAAGCCCTGGGATGCTGGTCCCTGGCCTGCCCCGGGGGCCGATGGGCCTTTTCCCTCCATGGCAAGAACAGATTGAGTCCAAATTCCTCATCCAGGAGTCGGCCTTCCCGGGCCCTCGCAGCACAGCCTGTTCTTGGAGGGAGGCTCCAGGACGGTGCGGGTCTGGGGACTGAGGATGGCGGCTTTGGCTCCAGGGAGATGACGGAGGGATAAGTGAGGATGGCGGGGCCCTTGCTACGGAACCGCAGCCTGGCCTTTTCTGCTCTGCACCTGAGGCCACAGGCCTGGTGTGCACCAGGAGTCTGTGCAGGGGCTGCTGTTGCCAGAACTCTGCTCTCCTCCAGCTCTGCGGGCCCCCTCCGGTGTCCCAGTCTGCAGGGAAGTGTCCCCTCTCCTTCTGGGCCCACGTGGCCACCGCAGGAAGCCCACTCTCTGCTGTCATCTTGGGCACTTGCCCAGTGTCCCTCGAAGTGCAGAGTCTTCGTCTCCTGTCTCCTCCTCCCCCACCCTCACCTCCCCGAGATGAGCTGATTGCTGATTGTCACTGGGCTGGAAAGGCTCCCTTCTGCCCCCTAACCCGGCCTCTCTGTCCTCCCCTGCACGTGTCCTGGTCTGTGAGGGCAGGCGGTCTGCTGCTGGGCTGACTCGAGGTTCAGTTTACACCCTGGGGCAGCGTGAGTCACCTCTTGTGTGGTCCCCACCAGGGGAGTCAGGAATGCTGGGACACCTCCCGCTTGGCAGCAGCATCCAGGCCGGGGAGCTGGGGCGGGGTTTGTGTTAACTGTCCTGAGGCCCTTCTTCTCCCGGCTGCAGCTGTGTTATCTTTAATGGTGTCCCCTCGGCTTTCATGAACACCGTCCACAAATGCAGGTCCACAGAGAGACACATCTACCCTGCCTCCAGGCCTCTAAGACTGTCAGCCTCTCCTACCCTGAGAGATCTGAGCCAGGACCACCTGTGGCCTTGGGTAGCAATTTCCCAAAGCCACTCCTGCTTCTGCTAGACTCCCAGCTCAGACACCGAGATCCTGGCCTTTCTCTGCCGGCCAGGGGCTCCGTGTCATATTCTGTCCCCACTGCATTCGGGCTTTGTGATCTCTGTCAGAGCGTGACCAGCCTTGTGCCTCTGTCCACACAGGCTCCTGGTCTGGGCAGCTCCTCCCAACAGCGAGCATCGTCATCTTCTGGCTTGTCCCTTCACCTCCCTGTCCACCTCCATGTCCCTCTGTCCAGCCGCCTGTGCACTTTATAGAAAAGAAGAGCAGAGCACACACAGGCGGTGGGGTTGGGTGGCTCTGGGTTCTGACCCCGTCTTGCCACTTACCCGCACGTTGTTTCATTCAACTGGTCGCAGATACTGTATTGTGCCCCTGAGATGCACCAAGTCCTGTTTCCAGGTGGGGATGCAGTGGTGAGTGCAGTAAAGTCTGTGCCCTCATGGGGCACAGGCAATAAATACAATTTTGAAGATCCTATATATATATAGTGATGATAGAATGAAAAGCTCCGAAGGAAAGTAGACGGCGGCACAGAGATGGAGAGTGATGCTGGTGGGTGGGCAGCTGTTTTAGACAGAGGATGGGAGACAGCCTCCCTGTGGTGGGAATGACCGACCAGAGGCAGACAGGGAGAGAGCTGCCTGGAGGTCTAGGGGGCGCATTCCAGACAGAGGGGCCAGCATTGCACAACCCAGGGAAGTGGGCCAGGCTGGCGCGGAGTGGGAAAACCCCACGGACCCTCAGCTTCATCCTCCCTGAAACCGGGGTGCTGAGATGTTGCCGTGAAGAGTGGAAATGATACATCCCGTGTCACACAGAACCTAAAGTCGGTCTCAGAAATGGCTTTCACGAGACTGTCCCTCCAGTCCCAGCACATCCTGGGGTGAAGCCTTGTGAAGGTGCTGGGTTAGTGGCAGGTGTCTCTGGCCTCAGAGCCCAGGACTGTTCCCCAGCTCACCACCCATGGGTGCTGAGGGTGACCACGAGGTTAACATGTTTCCTCCTTCCCCCGAATCCAGCACCCTTACTTTCCTCCATCTTCCTCCCCTTGTTCTAGCTTTCCTCACCCCTGACCCCTTCCTCAGCCTCCTCTGACTGTACCACCCATGCTGTCATGTCCCCCCTCCCCCTAGAACACTCTGTAGCTCCCTTTGGCCAGATCTGTTCTGTTGGTTTCCAGGTGTCTCCCCAACTGCGTCCCTGTACTATCTACCTCCGCCTTTGGATCCCCAGTTCCATCAAGCCTTTTCTTGGGGTCTTTCTTTCTCAGGCATCCTTTTGTCTCCCACATCACGAGGTTGTGGATGACTTTTTAAATCTCTTTTCCTTGTTTTCTGGTTTGTTTGTTTGTTTCACAATGCTTATGTATTGCTTTTGGTAGTTAATTTTGAAAGTTCATTTTTATTTAGAAAATGCTACATACACACACACACTGTTTATAATCATTTGTCCCCGAAGAGTTAGAATTTAAGTTCCTTGGGAAGATGGAAGCAAGTCCCCGGTCAGTAACCTCTCACTCGACGTGGCGCAACTTTCCCTAAACTCTCACACACGTTCATGCAGAGCCCGGATGCCAAGGGCTTTGTGAACCTAGCTAGTTTCTAGAAGGGTCATCTCAGATATCCTGAGAATTTAGACTTTTCTGAGGATGGGCCTCACTGGTCTATTCTAAGGAAGTTAGATTGTAAATATGCCCGGGTAGTTTCAGGAGACTGGAGGCGACGTGCTGGCCACGGCTGCTGCCTCGCACAGGATTAGCCTGTGGGTTTTCTCTCTGCTACTTCATTCCCGTTACCCACAAGCTCTGTGAGGGCTGCGGGCCTGGTAGTGTGGCTGTATCAGGACCCTGGAGAGTCTAGAACCATCTGGATATCAGTCATGTGGTTTTGCCCAGTTTTCGAATGAAGAGAGGAGTTTAAAGCTGAGTGTCATCGTCTAGGAGAGAAGTAAATCCTATTGCACGTGGAGAACTAGCACAAGAACATGAAGCATCTTCGCGTCCCGGGACTCCAGTACCCGCTCTCCAGGAGACGACGGGGTTCAGGTGCTGATTCCACTGCCTTTCCAGTGGCCCGTCTCCCCGATCACTTTAAAGCCCCGACGGCCCGGTTTCCAGGGCAGAGAGAGAACAGTTCAGATGTCAGAGAACAACAAAGAACCTGTTCCTCCCTCCCCTGCTGGAAGAGACCAGAGCGAAATGCTCAAGGGAAAAGGCTAGTTCCTCAAAGTTACTGTTTTGAGCCTTCGGCAGGTGTCTTTCTCATGCGTAACGACTCCTCCCCAACTCCGGGGTGATTTATTCCATGTTCATCTTTTCCACACCAGAACTGGAGAGATTGTACAAGAACATTGCAGCCTAGCCCTGGAGCCTCACTTTCTTCATCTGCGCAATGGGGTAACGCCTACCTCCCAGGGCTGTTGAGAGGAGGAAAGGGATTGAGTGAAATGGTGAATGAGGTTTGGGTAAAGACTCAGCACAGTATCTGCTTTATAATGGTAGATGCTGACGATGAAGTGAGTCAGCCACCCCTGCAGGGGAGACCCTCTGGGGCCTGATCACACTCAGTGAGAAGCCCTTCCCATGTGGTTTGGGAGGATGGGGGGGCGGGATTCACCCTGTGGTTATGATGGAGGAGGGGAGGCTGAACTTCTCCAGGCTGGAAATGCTCCTGACTTACTCATCCATAAATACAGTCGACCTTTATGAAAGTAATGAAGGATTCCTGCGGGTTTGTAAAGACACCTTTGCTTCTGTAGGGGATCGCACCGTGCGGAAGGTCTGCCCGGACTGGCATGTTGCTGAGAGGGAGCAGGGGAGGCGGCGGGGGGCGTCAGAGGATGGTTCTTGGGGCAGGAAGTATGGATGCTCATAGGACTTCAAGCTCTGTGGTCAGCAGGAGCCCAGAGTGCCCGCTTCTGTGACTCCAGTGGCTGTTTTCAGAAATGAGGTAGGTCCCCCAAGAATGATGCATACTTAGAGATTGGAGGATACGGCTGTCCACGGGAGCATCTTCTGGGACCCTCCCCGGCCCTTGTGGCTTGAAGATTCCAATGGGGCTAAATTTTGTCATTCTCAATCAGAGCCAAAGCGCTAAGTGCAAATGCTCCTGGGAGAGGCACCACCATAGCTGCCGCCTCTGATGTAACTTACGTGTCAGGACTGCTTGAGAAGCAGATTTTGAGAGTGGGAACGATCCTGGAGAGTTAGTAGAGAGGACAGTGAGGGCAGAGGCCTGGAGAAGGGGAAGGGCCTGCAGCCGAACACGGGCAACTGTGCTCCCTCCACGTTTTGCCTCGGGCTGATCCACTTTCTCTGGAGCAGCTGATTCCCCCAGGGTGTGTGCAGAAACACTTCGCCACTTTGAAAAGGAGCAGCAGGCTACTGCCATTTAAAGAAGGATGTCAGGAAGTGAGAAAAGGAAAAACTGGCTGGAAGCTGGGGTGTGAATTTACGATGCAGAGCATTTAATGACATCAAGAGGCAGAGGGGGATTTTAGGATTTTTAAGTTGTCTCCCAAGATTCATAGGTATATTTGCTAATTTAAAAGGGGTTGGGGTGGGGGAGGCATCATTCTCCTGCATATTGTGGGATGTAGTCACTAAGATCTTGACATTTATTAGAATTCACTAGATTGGGAAGAGAGAGAGAAAAAAATGAGCATAATCTGTTGAAATATTTTGGAAAAATGCGACATGACTATTTTCAAGTATTCTGACTACTGATGAAGGCACATCCAAAATAATCTTTATAGACCAAGAGCTGATGCGATGGATCAAAATTCTTGGAATGGTTATTCTGGATACAAGAAATACAGTTATTTTCTTTTTTTCCAATTATCTGTAGGTTTTTTTTTTTAATTTTGAAGAAAATGTCCTTTGTAATGATGGGACTGCAAATCTAAAATCTGTTTCTTTTTTTTTTTTTTTTTGCAATAGGGTTACATGATGGAAAACCGAATCTCAGGCTTGAAATGTGACACAGATGTGTTCGTAACTTTTGAAGGTGACAATGTTGTTATGCTGCAGGTAAGATTCAGGAAATGTTTATTCTTTTGAAACAGCATAATTTTCAAGATTAACAGTTATCCACAGATCTGAGGTGCTTCTTATGTTTTATCTTTGTCTGATGGCTTCATTTAATCGGCAGGTGTTTTTCTGTCAGGCACTTGATTTTTTGCACTAGTTTAATGGGCAGATTAATTAAGTTATTTCAAATGTCAGCTGATACTTGATGTCGAACTGTATCTTTTTGGCTTAAGGATACTACTTCCTGTATATCTTGAGTCATGTCTCTTCTACCGGGAAGGCTGTTTCCCAAAGAGTAGTTAGGTATGGTCCCAAAAGACAAACAGGCAAAAGACATGAAAAGCTAATTTACAAAAGGAAGGCAGTTGATCAGCCACACTAGTGATCAACGAGATGCACGTGGGGGCATCTGCAATACCCATTTCTTTCCTCTACCAAGCTGGCCCGTGTTTAAGAGTCTATCAGGTTCCACTGTTGGTCAGAACCAAAGGGGCCTCTTCCAAGTTGCTATTGGCCATGTGTGAGTCTACTTCTGGGACTCTCTCTAAGGTTATAATCCAAAATACAGAAAGAACTTGGGACACAAATGTTCTCATTAGTGCATTATTTATTATAGCAATAAGGTTGGAATCTAAATTTTCAACCATAGGAAAATGATTATGTAAATCAAGTTCTGGCCACTCACTAGGGAACTGGAGAGCCTTTAAAACTGTACCTATGAAGATTTTATTACAGGAGTTTAAAATGGATGATATGGCAAGTAAAAATGATGTAAAACTGTGTACAGAATGTGATCACAATGAGGGGTTTTTAGGGAAGAAGAATAGAGACTTTTGGTTTTGCTAAGATGAAATGGCCCCGTTCCTCCCAGGGCCTTCCTCTTTTAAACACCCTGGGCAGGACAATGAACCAACACAGGGAGACTCTGAAAGGGGAGCAAGAAGAAGCCAGGCTGCTTACGGCCCTTAGGACTGGAGGAAGAAGTGGCAGTAAGTTCTCTGGGTTTCCTTGTTGCCTCCCATAAATCCTGGACAGGGTTATTTGTCCTGCATCTCTAATAGGCACAAACAAAATTTGCTCCAAGAAAAGCCTGCCTCCCCAGCCACAGGATGGGGAAGGTGGCCGCCTCACAATAGAAAATGCTTTTGGCAATACTCATTCTACACTAGGCTCATACAACAGAAAAACCAGAGCAACACATGCACGCGCACGCGCACACACACACACGGCCTGGCAGAAACTGATCTCCCACCTAAACTTCAGTCCGAAGAAGCGGGCAGAGGCAGGTAGCAGGTGGAAGCAATGCTGTTCCCCGACCTGGTGGTGCTGGAGGGGCTGAGCAGGGGCGTCACCTTCCGTTCCTTACCTGGTAGGAGAAGGAAGAGACCAGATTTTCCCACTGGAGTGATGTCAGCAGGGTCCGTTGGTGAGATAAGCCTTCGCCTCGCCCCGGCAGCAACAAGACCCAGCGAGCTGATGGAGCCAACTACCAGTGTGCCTCAAGCCTCGACTCCAGTGTCAGCAGCGTTCAGTGAAGCGTAGGACCCCGACCCCCACCTGACAGCAACTAGACTAAAGCAGGAGGTGTGAGTCAGGACTACTCACATCTCACGTTCCCCGCATCCTTGGTGCCCGGGGGCCCGCTGCGGCACTGAAGCTGCACACCCACAC